GCTGAAAAGCACATCACTTTTTTAAGTTCTTGCAAACACTCCTTTAATTAGATTTGGTACACAAGCTATTTTGACTAATAAATGCTAAAAGCTACAAATCTTTCTTAGATGCTACGGAGTAGTTAGTTGTGCAGCTTCTCAAAAAAGATCTTTTATTTTGATAAAATCTCTGAAAAATTGTCCACCAAACAAATAATTAGTAACTTTTAATGACTTTATAAATGGTACAAAAGGTGGAAGATATCAATTTATGTCTATCAAACATGGTCTTTATAAAATTAATATATAGAATTTATAATGTGTGAAAATATACTTTTTCCCGAAAATTTTCATGCTTCATAGCAGCTAGCATTGTGATTATCTAAGACTCAATAATTGACAAAAGAATTAGACAAATAATTAGTTCTTATAAAGGTACTAATTCATTAATGAACGCTACTTGCTTGGCACAATGACCATGCTTAATTATTATCTTTGAGACTTGACCATTTCTCCTCTCCACATGCATTACATTATATATAGGACACATGCATGTATTTAATTATGATGACATACATTCTCAAGTATAAACCTACCTTTACCTTTGGTTACATCATATGATAATTAACTCAATGGTGACAACCATCCATCCCTCAATTTAATGAAGTGAAACAAGCAGTTGAGGGATATGATCTTGACATCTCTCACAGGCCATGTGGTAATGGTGGCATTCTTTTTTCAAAACATGTTTAGACATTATTATTGATCAGTTGGACCATATTTATGTGCTAATTATATAAGGTGGTGTATGAGATTTCCCTTTCTTCCTATTCCTAAATGTTAGAGTTCTTTAAGAACAATTAATTAATATTCCATGGTCATGTGACATGACTTGCATGCTAATACTTAACAGAGCCCATATAGATTTGGAGCTATTTTTTTGGTCAATTATATTCATGTCTTAAACCTTGGTTTGAGTCTATATGACACTAGTGTTTGCGAACCTTCTTCTATCCATCTTCGCTCTAATTATATCTCAGTATAATAGGAATTGTCATTTGTCAAGAGTCGCATAATTAAGAAAAGAAGCTAGCTAGTCAAATGAGAGAATAGTTTATTCTCTTTATTATACACATCTATCATGATGTAGGTATTATTATTACATCTCCTTTAATCAATTTATCAATTTAATATTACACGAAAATTTTTATACTAAAAATACAGACATTTTTTAAATTTGGGCTGGGTCGGGACCGGGGTTAACCCTCCCTAGCTACGCCCCTGTATTAAGGTCTACGAAATGAAGTTTTCACAAAATAGCATATACGTAGAGCCCATTCTGTGACTATTTTTTTGGCTTATCGGTCTTATTGGCCAATTTTATCACCAAATGTATAACTTTTGGTTTCGCGTACTGATTTATGTAATAATCAAAATAAATTAAATGAGGTTCGAGATACTTTTATGACTGAATTAACTGAAGTTACTATAGAAGTATAGAAGACCATTTTTGCTTTTTTAAAATATAACTTTTTCTATATTTTATTAATAAAATGTATTTTAAATATTTTTTTATAATTCATCTTACAATCTAATCTATTCACTTCATATATGTTGGCCAATTTCAATTATCAAGCGGGCTTGGAGTATATATTGTACGTAGCAATTATAGTCCTCTTTGTGCCGTTTTTTTCGTTGGTCCTTCAATGCGTAAGATCATAATCATCATCATTATAATATGGATCCAAGTCATCCAACATATTGGTCCCTTAGTATTATTGTTAATGTTAATTTTAAGCAAAAAGAATAAATTATTTAGCCTATGTTATGTATCATATCGTTTTGATATGGCAAAATAAAATATTATAGCCATGTGTGTCATCAGGGGTGGAGACAGCCCTGCAAGAAATTTTTTTTAAGTATATATTATATATAAATACTTTGAATCTAGAAAAAATATGTTGATATTTTAATTTTTGATCTCGACAATGTAAAATTTTCAAAGCTGAGCCCTCGTGTGTTATGTGTCATGTGCGAAATTCCGATATGTGACTGCTACGTACATTTAGCTAAGGTCGTAATATAGTTGAAATCATTTTTAATTCGTATTCAAAATTAGAGAAATCACGGGTAATATGTTGTATGATATTTTTTAGATTATATGAAGGTATATCGATAGAGAGAGTAGAGTAACTTTAATATAGAATATTCATATAGAAGATTGGTCTTATCATTTTATCTTATCGTTTTTATTCCTTTTATCTTTTCTAATTTTGATTTCATTAGTCGATCTCAAACTAGCTCTTTTGGAACCAAATTAATACTCTAAGTTTATGTAGACTGTTCTAACCATAAAATTTAATGTATTCCCACCCAAGAATTTATTAGACTATTCTAACCATAAAAAGAATAAAAATGTAATAAAATTTAATTTATTTCCCTATTTTCCAAAGGAGTTTATGTAGACTATTATACGTTATAACCATTAAATCTAGTGTACAATATACGTTACTCATCTTTTTAGTTTATTATGGTTGGAAAAATGTGTTAAAAAATACATTAAATGGTCATTTTGGGGCAATTTTTTGAGTGGGTCTACTTCCGATTTGGATCAGGTCAAAGTGGTTTCGGATTGTCCTTGCTAAGGGTTACAATTCGATATGTGGTACACTCAAAACGGATAACGGGTGAATGAGAAATTTATTCTCGAAGTTCACTCGTTAAAAATGGAAAAACTGGGAAAATGACGCGTTTCTAGTGTGTTTTATCCCACACCCGAAAACCCAAGGGATTTTCACCCCCTTATAAAGGGAGCCCTCTTTAAAGGAGTTAAGATTCCTACGGAGAAAGGCTCTCTTCGCGGGTAAGGGGGTGCCGATCAAATCCCGAAAACGGAGAAGAAAAATCGTGACTCGTGTGCGCGGGTGCTTTGCTGCAATAAACACAGGTTCACAACCAATTTGCACGTAGTTTTAAGCTCTAAAACACTTCCAGCTACTCCAAAAATTTCCCGAGCATTCTAGCTTGTTCCCGTTCGACGGAACTTTCATTTGTGTGCTCAAACGTTAGTTCGTTATTCACCGTATCCTGGGAAATGATCGTTGCAACGCTCCTAGCACCGTGGGAGGCGACGAATACGTTTTAAGGATATCGTGCGTAACACAAACTCTGGCTAAAATCTGTTCCATCTATTTTCTGTTTTCTTTAGTCATTTTAATTAATTAATTTTTATTAACTATTTTCTTTGTTTTTCGAAGCACACCCAACAATTATTACTCAATTTATTGCTTAATTATATACTCGTATTTGGTAATATCAAAATGATTTAACTAGCTAAGTTAATTATAAATATTTATCGAGTGTATAGAATTATATCAAAACTTCATTTATATTTGATGAACGATTTAAATTTACTTATTTACAATAAACAGTTTGCTAGTCGCCAATGATGCCTAACCCGTAAATCATAAGAGAGTCTGTTGTTCATCAAAGTTATTTATTAGCTAAGTTAATTATAGTTTTTATTGAATAACTTTAATTTATATAATTTTTATTTATGTTTGAAGAACTATTTGAATTTATTTATTTATATTTAAGAACTTTGTTAGTAATCAATATGGCCTCACTCATAGTCTCATAGTATGGTTGATGAGGACAAGGAGGTAATTCAGCGACGCAGCAAACGGACACGACAGAGGAACTCTAGGCTAAACAGCTATATTACTTAAAGTACGTCTTCATTCTTTTAATTAATTACTTTTTAGTTTCCTAACCGTATTAATATTCCTAGTTTTCTAATTTCCGTTTGCTAATTGAACACCAGCCGGACTTAGTTTCCTAATCCAACTTGTTCTGATGTTGGGTTATATATATATATATTATATACCCATTCATTAATTAATAAAGATAGCATATAATTTTTTGGCTTATTCAGGCTTGGTCTTCTATCACCGTGAGATAGAATCGGTCCCTTTACGCCGTGAGTAAAGGCATAATTTTTCTTGTGTTTCACCAGCCCTCGATCGAGGATTCTCATCAATGGTTAAATAATTAAGATTCACGTATTACCCGTATAATCTACAGGGTATTTGATTTGATTTAGAGAGAATTTGACATTGTGTTCTACTTTCATATCATTAATACGGAGTATGTACTAGTACATCCCAATTCACTATAAAATTATTTGACTTTGCACTTAAGCTCTTTACAATTTTTGGATCGATGGAATGAAAATATTAATGATTTTGAAAATGAGGTAAAATCCAATATTGCGTAACTTTTCCTGTCCGCCCAAGAGTGGTACCCGATCTCGGCTCACATATTTGGAGACCGAACAGGTGGTCCCGATACCAGTTTCGGTCCCATACAGGCCAATGTTTTTACTTTTTTAAGTTTGAAACCGGGGTAAAAACACAAAAATAATAGGTTGAGGTACATAACCGGAACCATCTTAGATCCGACAAATTGTAGGTCAGTCCCGAGTTATATATAAAAAAAATTGCTAGGATCCCCTAGGCATGAGTCGCATGTCTGAAAGGTAATTAGGCAAATAAATCTGCATGACGAGATTGATGTAAATGATTTTTTAAAAAATACTGTTATAAAATCACCCAAAGGTGATGCAAAGCAAAACCACACGACATGATATTAATGTTGCCTATCGAACAATGTCGCCCACGTATTCATTTGGCGCATACATTTTTTACTCCTTATCAAAAAGTGCTATGCAAACAAATTCCCTTACGGGCAATTGGGGCAACAAAATCGATGCTCAAACAAGTTTCACCTTCTTAACACGCTCCTCAAAGCAGGGCGGACCCAGGAAAGTATCTTGGGGGCCGAAAATATTTTTTGGGAGGATCAAAATATTTTTTGGGAGGAAGAAAATTATTTTTCATATATATATATACTAAAAAAATTCTTCTTGGGTCTGTACTACGGTCCGCCCCTGACTCAAAGCACTTGAAATATGAGTTTGACCCATATTTACCCCAACAACTACACAACCAAATAAAAACAAGTGTAGAACCAAAGTGAATCCAAATTTCATTCCAATTGCAATTCGGGAATGTTTGAAAGTTATACAACAGAACCTATGGGATTTATTGTTGGATTCATCATCTAAAACTCATCCTTGAAATATGGCTCAATGTTTATTACTCCGTAATTATTCTAATATATTATATATTATATATTATATATATATATATATGCCCTATTGCACTATGTCCCAACTCAGGTGCTTCCACGTCAGGCAAACCTACAACTTCACTGGAAATGTCACTTCCTATTTGATATTTTGTTGGGGTATTATGCACCAAAAATGTCCAATATACTTTTAGTTTGCGGTTTCAACAGTTCCTCCTTGGTGAAGCTGGTCCGACTATCGGCCACTATCCTGAGGACACAAAAAATATAGTAGATGATTTCATTGAGTAGCTCCTCTAGAAATTACTTCAAAAAAATACACAATAAATGGTTAATAAGCGTAGGCGTGGTTGAAAATTTATTTTGTACCTCTTAATACAAGCGTAAAGACAAGGCTGACAAATGCACTAACCACTTTATGGGTCAATGTATTTGGGAAAATCAGCCTTGCCCAAATAAACTAGTCGCATCTCCTCCCTCCAGATCTGAAAAGACAAAATTAAAGAGGAGATGAAGAATGAGGAAGGCTGAATGGTTATATAGGCCCCTTGTACAAGTTTGGTGCGCCTTCAGTTTCAGGGAAACAATGCTAATGTTGCAGCTGATCATATAAGAAACACTCGAATATAACAAAACAAAATTGATTGGAAGGAAGTGTATACCATCTCTCTGAACTCCAATCGGATATGAGGCACGTTTGTCCTATGGATATCATTACCATCTGGACCTCTCTTGAAATACTCATTCCCGATCCAGTGAGACTACGATAAGAAAAACAAATGGTTCAGTCTCCGGGATAAAAAAGGAAGAAGTTATATCATTCCTATCATGCCGTCACAGTGCTGCTCAACAGGAACCACAAAATTTCTGTGAAGTGCCCCACATCAAAAGTTTACCATATCTAAGTTTGGTGTGTGTGTGTGTGTGTGTGGTAAACTACACCTCCTTGAGGATCATCCTTTTGGGATACGTTACGTCCAATTTAATACGATATCAAATCTTGGTCTTATTGTGATCTGTTTGTTGGCACACATGGTCTGGGGTAATCCGCTTAGAACTAGTTTAGCCTTTTTTTCACAAATCAAGTCAGTTTGGGCTAAAGGGAAGTGTTAGGTTTCCCACATAAGAAGTTTACTAGAACTATATCTAATACATAAGGGTGAGGTAAATCTCACCCCTTGAGGATCCTTTTGGTGTGATTTATGCTGAATTTAATATTTTCCAAAAAATATGCATTTGCCCACCTTCAGAGCATGCGAGAAACCAGATTGGTAGACTGAATTGCGGGCAATCTCACATAGATCACATGAACTTAGCTTCCACACCTGTATGATCCAATGTCTGGCCTTTCAAAACTCAAATTACAAAACTTCTAGTACACACGGTTAAAAAGGCATCTAGACACTTACCGAAGCAGCTATACTATACTCCTCAACCAATGGCTCTTTTGTTAAGTGGATTTGTAATGGATCATCCGTTGAAAGAGAAACATTCAGGCCCCGCAAAAAGAACATGGGAAAAGGGTTGCGGTGATAGTCCAAGAATAAAGAGTTATTACTTAAAGGAGACATTGCCAAGCCAATCTGGCAATAAGTGGGAATACTCACTGTTAAAAAGCATCAACACCATTGCACCAAAGTAAAATAAGCTCTACTGTCGTCTTTGATTTTACCTGGGCAAGATAGTACAAGTACTGAAGTACAGGAGATTTTCTGAGATTGATTCCATGAGCGATGTTGTGTGTAGTAAGAAACGTAGCAGCAAGGTGGTCAATGTCACCGGCCTGAAAATATAAATAAACCTGAGCAACTCCCACACCCTATATAACCTATGGACGAGCAATCAAAGTATGAATGAGTGAATGCCTGCACTACCTCTCCAGAATGAGGGCGGAACTTAATAATTGACATTCCCTTCGATTCACGCAGCTGAGAGATGTTAATTTAAAAGATCAAATGTCAGAATGGGATGACATTGTGAGTGTGAAATATAACACAACTATTCAGGCATGCACCTAAACAGTTTTTATAGCAAGTGGAGTAGCGATTGTATCTTGTTATAAAAATAATTACTCAAATGTGACAGTAAAGTCAATTCCAAATAGCAACTAACGCACTCCACCCTTTTCAATCCTCTTTCCCTCCCTTTTCCAGTTGTGGGATATGCCCTCACATTTGCCCACTTCTCCCTAAATAAAAACTCAACTAAGTCTATTTCTCAATTTAGCTATTCTCAATGAAAAGCCTATGCAAGAAAGTTTTCGGTTTGACCCTCTCCTGCCATGTCAACACTAACACTATGTTTCATGTGATGTCCTTCCGATAAAATCAAAAGGCGGAAATGAAAGTGAAGTATCACATTTAGGTCCAATACGCACCTTGTTAAGGGTGTACAGATTAGCATAGCAATAGTAGACATAGTACGAATACGCAGGATTGAATACATTGGTCCACTGAGATGGTGTTGGCATGTGTTTTGTTGGCCTTCTTTCTGGTTTGCTCTCATCATCTACCAAATCTAATCCAACTACCTGTAAATTATTCAAGTAATCAGTCAAAAACCTTCATCCCATTGCTGCTTGATCCTATGAAATGTTGTTTTGCATAAGAGAGCACACTTATTTCAAATCTAACTGAGTGGGGTATTATATGAATGTTTCTCATGGATCAGCGGCACAATAAGAATATGATGAAACTACTAAAGAAGTACATAGTACAACTGTTCAAGTGTCTAATTAACTGAGTAGATACCTGTTTTAAGAACACATGCAACTGAGGATGAGAATCTGGATCAACAGTAACTTCAAATAAAGGGAGAAAAATATTATCGAGAATGTTCTGAAATGATGTCACAATGCCCATTTCCTTGTACACATTGTAGAGTCTAGGAAGCTGGAAAAATAAATTTTGAATAATATTAATCACAAAAGAAAACATGAAAATGCTGAACCCCCTCCGTCCGTCAACTTTGACAAGTTTGACCAACACGGAGAATAATAAAGTAAAAATTGTGTCCCCTTTTAATCTTCTGACTTTTTTCTGGGCCATTCCTAAATCTCAGTGACACGTTTCATTTTTTAAAGTCTATGCAACTCAAAGAAGGAAGATTGAACTGGGACGGGGTCATTTAGTTTCATAAATGAACAAGAAGAGGCATACCTGTATCAACCAAACAACATTCTCACTATACAGCTCATTGTTCACAATCCAACTTGCGAGCTGGTCCCACTCACTCATCTTTCTACCATATATTGATATTCTATATTCAGCCATCTGCAAGGCAAACCATTGAGAGAAAGGAATTAGTCAAATGGGTGGGAAGAGCAGACATTCAAATCTCAAGAGAATTCATGACACATTCATATGACCGTGAATGCAATAAAGCAATGTTCCTGAAACATTGGAGTATTAAATAAAAATGAAAATGATTTCAATATGTTCCTATAGTTTTTAATAGATTTTTACAACAGGCCTCTTCAAATGCAAGGCTCTGATAATATATCAAAGAAATATTAGATAGGTCTCTACTATAGTTCACATTTTCATCTCCTACTAAAAACAGTAAAACACACAACCATCACAGAAGCGAAAGCTTCCCTGAGACAAAAAAAAAGTTCCTTAGTTCAATGACTCAATCTTCCATCATATTGGCATTATATAGTTAGTCCATAGCTAATTAGTTCACAAACAATTCAATGTTTTTTGCAGCAATCCTAATGACACAATTTCGCATTAAAAGAATCAAACGCAAAATGTATAAAATGCAAATAGCAGGTTGTTACATAAGAATTCGAAAGCAATAATTTTTGGAAGAACCTGATATTTACTTGCTTCAAGATCTGAAAATACTTGCTTTGTCAACTCACCAAGAAAGCGGCCTGTTAAATTATGGAATACGTCAAATGGCAAAAGCGTGAATGAAGTCAATTTAAAGCATTAGGCAAGAGCAGCAAGACATTCAGTTTAAATGCAGATTTGAACATCACTAAAAGCTATGATCAATAAAAGAAAACGCTAGTACAGCATTTAGTATGACATGCCTCTTGATCAATATAAAACCTTTAGATTCTAAAATCTAAACCCATCAAACAAAATCACAACCCACACTATGATCACTGAAAGACAAAGCTACGTTTCAGCTTTGTTTTTATGCTGTTGCTCAAAATCTACATTTAAACTAAATGACACGCACAGAAAAAGATGAGAACTTACCCTGGATAAGATTATCCTGCTTCAGAAAAATCTCCCTGAGCCTACTTTGACCACAAGGGTTGTATTTCAAATTAAATTTGTCAAAACGGTGAAAGGTACTCTTGTCAGCATGGACATCCAATAGGTCCACATTCAGGTCATAACTGTTAAATTCAAACAAGAAAATTTAAGAAGTGATGGTCGCGCAGCCAACAAAATCAAGAAAACTATTTAAGTACCCAGTCAAATCCAAGCTCTCAAAAACCTCCTTTAAGGTCATGTAAGTCCCATCACGAAATATAACAACCTGAACAGAACAAAGAAAACAGTAAGTACGCAGAAAATCCCCATCAAGAAATCATCACCCAAGTAGCCAAACAGCATATTTAGAATTTTTCATATCACATTTTCTTCATGTGCAGCTCAGATGTACAATAACCAATACTTGAGTCTAAATAGAAAGGTTGCAATCAGGGTAATGTATATGAAGCTTTAAGGAGAACCAGTGGAAACTATGACCAAATAAAAGGAGCATCATTTGTTGGTTACCTCATCAGGTTCTTTCCTTAGCTTTGACTTTATAAATCGCAGCAAATGTTTCTGGTTCATGCATGCTGAGTGATGAACATGAGTGTCAACCTTTCTAACATTATAGAAGTCACGATGTGGTGCACTTTTTTGAGCTAGGAATTCTCTATCCGCATTGAGCATTAAGTGAAGGTTGAATTTCTGCATAGGTGGAAATCCATAAATAAAATAGAGAATATGGGATATTGCATAAGTAAACTTTAAGCATAAATGAATAGCATACTTGTTCTAGAAGAACTAGTCGATGGTGGCATAGAGTTCGAATATTCCCAGCTGCTATGACTTTAAGAATATGATGCAGGTCAGTGAAGAAAGTTGTTGCATCGGCAACAGGGAAAAGTTTCTCTTTTGCTGTTGTAAGTGGATTGAGATACCGAAAGTGGAATTAGAAAGGGGAGGAAAGTAAGATGATGAGGACATTTAAACTTTTATACAACCAATCATGTTAGAATAGAATTGAAAAGGATTGCATCTTACAATCTTTATTCGGATAAACATGGACTACACCATCTTCCATCTGAAAATAATGCTGCAAAACAATTGCAGGCATGGAAAAGAATTCAGAAGCGTGATAATTGCGCAAGTGTTTTAACAATAGCAGCTTGCAAAGAAATGAAATACTGATAAAAGTGCATCAGAGTTTAAGAGCATACATCAGATTTACCCTCTGATATGTAGTTAAATGGATTAAGGTTAGGCTTTGGTGTACTGGGATCAGATATTATTTCCTTCTCCCAAGGAGTGACACCCTCCCTAAATACATAACTCCGTCTCATATCAAGACAAACTTGAAGATTCCGGTATACATCAATCTCATCAGGAGATGGTGTCTCTGGAAATGATTATAAAGAAATAAAAATTCAGAAATTGCCTTGATGAAAATGACAACAAGTGTGATCCAATGAAGGGAAGTGACTTAAATCAGGCCAGGACAGGAAAGAAAGAGCTACCCATAGGAGAAATCTTCAATCGCACAAACGTTTCTTGCTCTGGCTCTTTTCTAAGTATATCTGCAGCTATGGGGTCAGGTTGAACACCATGTAGATCACCAGATACACTATGGGAGCGAATCATACTCGGGGCAGGCAAAGGCACTTGCTCCCCATCGACAACGACATGTTCAGGCAAATTCGGGTACATCCCATCACACTCTGGTCCCTGTTCATTTTAGGGAGAGCATGGACATTAGTCAGATGCGGCTTACATAATTCGTGAAAAAGAAAGGTGCAGTTTTTACAAATACCTTAACAAAAATAAAAGTTGAAAGAATAAACATGTAAATATGGTTATATGTTGGATAAGATTCAAAAGGAAAGGAAGTGCAAAATAAGGAAATGCCCATCAATCACTGTGTTACCGCATCCCCGTTGGTATGAAGATAGATAGTATCTAGTTTCCCGTTATCGATCAAATTATCTTCCTCGTCAGATCCTTCCACACTTTCAAATGCACTGACACTGGGAACTGGAGACCTAGGAGAAGTAGATCGTAGAAGCTGTCCAGCTCTTTTGTATGATCCTACTTGACCAGAATTCCCTAATGCAAAAGAAGACATTTTTCTTTGTGAACATAATGCCACAATAATAAGAGGCAGCAGGTAAGGATTAAATCATAAAAGGTAGCAAGGATTCCCGAGTTTCCTTTTTTAAAACCCACAGGCCACAGCAGTTACCTGACCAGTAGTTATAGTGATTTGGCACGAAATGCGTTATTTTAATTACGAGAAGGGGTAATGGTAAAAACATCAAAACAAGCTAAATAAATATAACAGCTTCTCTTCAAATCAAACTTTATGATCGCAATCCCATTTGATAGTCCAACTGATGATTACAATCAGGTCACCTGAGGCGCCATGTCGGCTCAATTCACACTTTCTGGACATCTTTTGCCATTCCAATGTCTCAGCTACTTTTTAACAAATGGGAGCTCATAACCAATGAAGAAAGTACTAAATGACAAGTGGAACACGTAACAGAAAGCACATAGAACACGAGATTCAATGTTTTACCCGTCATACCCAATCATACGTGTCACTTATTCATTGGTTGCTCAAAGTACGATATCTCCATTAATAAGGCATGCTTCATAAATCATATAAAATAGGCAATGAATATAGCTCAGTCACAAACCATATTGTTTTTCTATACTTTAAAGGGGTTAATTACCTAAATCAAGAACGGTATGAAGGAGAATTAGATATATCTCCAGTTGAAGATCATGATACAATTATTACATTTACCTATACATCTAGATATATCACCAGTTGGACATAAAAATTAGACCCTTATAGGTAGAAGTGGAAATGAAATAATTTATCAAAAGTTCCACTTTTTTCTTTATCGATCATACTTTGGTTCACAATTCACAATCTTTTAGACAACATTATAAAGAAAGATGTTGTCTAGACAAATTAATTAGACTGAACAAATTGTCTTTCTGCGGGTATAGATTAATTCCCGGTAAATATCCCTTTTCATGATGAAGGAAATTTTCCACAGCTTCACCAGGTGCTCAATCAAAGAAAATGTCCACCAATACATATGATTCCTGTGTGACCACATTCCATACATCCTCCACAGGCATAATAAGTACGCTCAATCCGTAAGCCATGTGAAGAAGCTACTATTCAGATAGCAGGACACATTTGCATACCTTCAGGAAGGGTGTGAAGCCGCGGCAAGCCAACAGGTATAGAATCAACATGAAGCAGCCCGTTCCTCATATCATCCACTTCGCAGCCTCCAGAGCCAGCAATCCCCGTGACGTCGGGCAGGGACGCGGTCACGGACTCGCGGCTGTAATATGCATTCCCTCTCCGTCTGGCATGGTTCCGCCGCTTCTCCGACGAGCTGTACTGCTTCAAGAACCGCGGCGAGTCTGCACTGTCCGCAGCTGCGTCCTCTCTGTCTCTCTCCATAGTCTTGGCGAACTCCAACAGTTGATTTAGGGTTTTCCGGTGCATATAGTAAGCCGATACTGCCACCACCGACGCGCCGACCAGTGCGGCCATGGCCAGATGCATAGCGTAGGCATCCATCTCTCTGCCCCAGTCTAGTCTTCAACTCAGTATGTGACAGCCGAAACAGAGTACGTCGAAAACAACTACACCTGAATATATAGAAATCTATATATGTATATACTTGTATTATACGTATGTTCTATCTATGTATAAACCCTACTGAATAGCAGACATATACATGTAAACATTGATGCATATATGGAGAGGAGAGTGAAAGGCGATTAAGGTAAAGAGCTGATGAATTTATAGGGCGTGAGAAACAGAAGTTCCCGCATTACATCAATATTACGGAGTATTATCAAACGAGTCACTCATAAATTTTTTAAGATTTGCAGACTTTCACAGCTGTTTTTAGCTAAACTTTTCGCCGCTTATCCATTCTTCGATTGCATTGCCATTGACCCACCAAGGCAACAACAAAAAAGCTGACAAACCAAGTGAAGTCTCATTATAATACGCATCTAAGCGTGTGTACAATCGTCGTATGATCAAGTGACGTCATTCGCAAGTCAACGTGATTTAATCATATAAGACGTCCATGAACATAATCCATTCATATTCAGTAGTAAACATACATAACAACATCACATTGAAACCAATGAATAGCGGAAATATTCAATGGTAAAACATGGACCATAACCGGCCAAAACATGGGCTCACAGGCCCAAAATAGTTTATAGTGAATCAAATATCCATGAGCAAGTGTTTGGTAGTTTGAAAGGAAATAAGGAAGCACGAACCACATCTTCCTTGAATTGACTTCACCCGTAAGAAGGTGCAGCCGTGCAGGTAGCAAGCCCTAGCTTCAACCTGAAAATGGTGGGGGGTCCAAGGGGTGAGTACAAGTACTGAGCGAGTAGCAAGCTAAATGTAGCATAACTAACATTTCAAGTATAAGACCCAAACATAGGGTGATACATACACGTATAGTACTTTCCCCAAGTTATAAAATACATATCAGTATATATATACACTTGGAAATACTTGACCCGTAGGTCATTGTTTATTTGTGAAAATCATAGAAGTCAATATCCTTGACTTAAATTCCAACCCACCCATATCATATGAGTGTATAAGACTCCTCCTGGTCCAAGTCAATTTATACATACGAGTTTGAGGACAGTATCGTCGTCCTTGAATTCTCTACCATTTATACATATGAGTTTTGAGGACAGTACTGTCGTCCCTAGGTCTCCACCATTTATATACCGAGGTTTGAGAACAGTATCGTCGTCCTTGGGTCTCCATCGTTTATACATTTGAGGTTTGAGGACAGTACCATCGTCCCTGGGTCTCCACCGTTTATACATTTGAGGTTTGAGGACAGTGTCGTCGTCCATGGATCTCCACCGTTTATACATTTGAGGTTTGAGGACAGTACCGTCATCTCTGGGTCTCCACCGTTTATACATTTGAGGTTTGATGATAGTATCGTCGCCCCTGGGTCTCCACCGTTTATATACCGAGTTTTGAGGACAGTATCGTCGTCCTTGGGTCTCCACCGTTTATATATTCATTCATATGATCTACCACATATCATACATAGATAGGGTCTATATCATAATCTTTTATCAAGACTAAACCAAGTCTTATAGCCTAATCATAACAATCCATGCAAAACCATGCACGAAAATCATCATTCGGGACAAAACAGGACCTAACCGGCGTCGGTTCACATTTAAATTCATTTATTTGAATGCCCCGTACTCAAACCGACGCCGGTTATAGCCTAAACCGGCGTCGGTCCACTTCCTCCTTTGTGGTAAACGGCCCGTTGACCGCACGAACCGACTCCGATTGATCCGAAACTTAACCCAAACATGAATTAAGTCTTAAACAATCAATATTTGCCATTTTGGCCATTCAAAACATCACACATGTTTTTATATCATTTTCATATCATTTCTCATGCATAATCATCATGGTTCATTTCACATAAGCCTAATCATCTTGGCTAATCACATGCTTAAACCATTTTAAACATCATTATGAACACATATTGCATTTACTTCGGTAATCTCATACTTCACCCAAGAGTTACAAGACATTAAGCCATCCACTCACTTTCAATGATGTTTAAGAAGTTCTTCCCTTCTCGGTTTAACTCCGGCGAAGCTCCGACGAACTTTGTCAAACTCCGGCGATAACTCCAGTGACTCTTTCAACTCCGTGAAAGCTCTAGAAGCACCTTATACAAGTTCCTAAAAAGGTTTTATCATCATAAAACCTGTATCAATACAAATAACCTCTAAAAGGTTATTTTCCGGCGAACCAGTCACTTTGGCTTCTAAATCCGTTCTTGGACTTAGAACCACCTTCCACCCCCTCATTCTACATTTCTAAACATGTAGAACAAGTCTAGGGGTTCCTCGTACGCTATGCATGTCATATGATAAATAAAAGATAGATGAAAGGTCATTAAAGGGCTCCTTACCTTTATCCTTAAGGTTTTTCTCAACTTTGCAACCTTTTTTTCTTCCTTGAGCTCCTTTCTTGCTTGAGATCTCTTGGATATGGAGAAATGGTGTTTTGCAGGGGCTTCTCTATCCTTCCTTGATGGCTTGGTCGAAGTTGTGGTAGAGGGGAGAGTGAAGAAGACTCTTTTGTCTCAATAGAGCAATGAGTGTGGATGAGATGGTCCACCTCATGTCTTACCTTCACTCATACTGTCATTCATCCTCTCAACACCCTCTCACCGTAATGCAGCCCCCTCAAGTCAACTTTGAGCAAACAAAAACGCGGGGTGGCCCCCACTCATGTGGGAGGTCATCCCTTTATGTCCCAAACTGTATAATCAGCCTCAAAAGTTGTATTTCTCAGACTGTTTTAATTATGTTTTATTTTATCGAGCCAAATAAAATATATCACACATTCTCAACCCATATGGTCCCTTAGAATGAATATACATTCCTCAACTTTAATTTAGAAGTCTCTGAAACCCATTTCGGACTGTTATCCGATAAATTACCAATACCGGTAATTGGGTCTCGTTTGACCAACCGGTCAACCCTATGCCCTTTCCATGGCCCAACTAAAATATCCACCACCATATACATATTATCTAGACCAAGATGAATATAATATATGGTCTCGGAAATATAGGGTGGTCCCTAATCCCGATGTGGGCCTCACGTGCAATTTACTATTCACGCACAAGTAATAACAAAAATTTACAACCTCGTAAATTCATTAACCATTTCATAAGGTTCAATACATGATTTACATAAAAGTAAATATAATTGGAGACGGTGTTACAAGTTCACCCCCCTTATTTGGGATTTCGTCCCCGAAATCCTCGTGTCTAGTAAAAAAGAAACGAGTATTGCTCCCTCATTGAGACCTCGGTCTCCCATGTTTCTTCCTCGACTCGATCACTCCTCCATAGAACCTTTACCATAGGAATCTCCTTGTTCCTTAATTTCTTTACCTGTTGACCAACAATCTTCATCGGTTTCCACTGCATATTGCAAGTCCTCACGGATCTCTACCGGTGTTTTCTCAAGAATATGAGACGGATCTCGTACATACTTCTTGAGCATGGATACGTGAAACATGTCATGTATCTTCTCGAGTTCAGGTGACAACTTGAGCCGGTAAGCCACGGCTCCAATCCTTTCAAGGATCTCAAACGGACCAATGTATCGGGGTTAAGCTTACCCCTCAATATGAATCAGATGATACCTTTCCAAAGAGAAATCCTTAGAAATACCTCATCACCAACTTCAAACTCTAACGGTCTACACCGTTTATCGGCATAGCTCTTCTGCCGATCTTGGGCAGCCTTAAGTCTATCCCGAATGATCTTCACCTTAGCCTTGGTGATCTCAACAAGTTCTATACCTTCGAGCTTGGCCTCGCCAACCTCGTCCCAACACAACGGTGTTCTGCATTTCCTTCCATACAATGCCTCGTATGGAGGCATGCCAATACTTGCCTGATAACTGTTGTTATAGGCAAACTCTACTAGAGCCAAATGTCTGTCCCAACTACCTTGGAACTCCAGATCACATGCCCTGAGCATGTCTTCCCAAATCTGTATCACTCTCTCGGATTGTCCATCCGTCTGTGGGTGAAATGTTGTGCTAAACTTCAGTTTAGTTCTCAAAGATGCTTGAAACTTTGGCCAAAATCTAGATGTGGATCGTTGATCTCTATCCGACACAATGGATATCGGGACTCCATGCAATCTCACAATCTCTTCAGTGTATAACTTGGTCAATCTTTCAAGAGGATAAGTAATGTTAATAGGTAAGAAATGTGCACTCTTAATAAGCCTATCAACCACCCCCATACCACATCGTAATTGTTCACCATTCGTGGTAATCCTACCACAAAGTCCATGGTCACATGTTCCCACTTCCATTCTGGAATGGTAAGTGGCTACAAAAGCCCCGTCGGGTGCTGATGTTCCGCCTTAACTTGGTGTGACAAGTAAGGCATCGACTCACATACTCTGCGATATCCCTCTTCATATTTGACCACCAATAACTTTCCTTCAGGTCTCAGTACATCTTTGTACCTCCTGAATGCATAGCATAGGCCGAAGAATGAGCCTCCTCTAGTATGGACTTTTGGAGCTCTTCATTCTTCGGTATACATACACGATCTCTAAACAATAAGAGATCATCTTCTCGTACCCGGAAGTCCTCAACGGGCCCCACAAGGATCCTCTCACGGATCTTCTAACATTCCTCATCAATGCCCTGACATCTACTGACCTCATCAAGCAAAGTAGGTCTAACCTCGAATCTCGCTATGAGGGCCACGCTCGTGGTCACCTCCACGCACGCCCTCAATGCCTGTAGGCATGTGAGTTGTAACATCATCCCCAAGTATATTTACTTTTAGTAAATCATATAATGAACTTTGAATGATGATTTATGAATTTACAAGGTTGTAAAATTTTTGTAATTACATTTGCGTGAATAGTGAATTGCATGCGGGGCCCACATCGGGAGCGGGGACCACCCGATAATCCCGGGGACCACATATTATATTCATATTGGTCTAGACAATATTTATATGGTGGTGGATATCTTAGTTGGGCCATAGGAAGGGCATTGGGTTGACCCGTTGGTCAAATGAGGCCCAATTACCGGTATTGGTAATTTATTAGATAACAGACCGAAACGGATTTCGGAGACTTCTAAATTAAAGAAGAGGAATTTATATTCATTCTACGAGTCCCTAATGATGCGAAACACATGATATATTTTATTCGACCCGATAAAATAAAATGTAATTAAAATAGTCCGAAAAATACAACTTGCGAGGCCGATTGTACAGTTCGGGACACAAAGGGATGACCTTCCACATAACTGGGGGCCAACCCACGTTTTTATCCTTATATTTGGACAAGTTAACCGCACCAACACATGGGATAAGATCCATGATATGATCTTGGAGCCAAA